AAACGAAGACTCGGAGAAGTAATTGACGGAATTCTGGGATTCCTCATTACCAGTGCCTCGTTCTTCTCAGACACTAGCAAAAAGGAAAAAGTCCAGGCTTTGAAAGTCAGTCCGCCTTGAGATCATAATCCCAGCTCCTCTATATTGTGACGGTGTGACTTTGGGCAAATTATGTAACTTCTCAGAACCTTAGATTTTTGGTCTGAAAAGTTGAGTCAGTAATAGCAGGTCCTACTGGGTTTTTGTTCATTAAATGAAACAAAGCCTACAAATACCTGTCAAAGAGGAGGAGCCCAAAACATGGGAGTGATTTTCTTTTCTTTTTTTAAAAAATCATGTATTTAGGGACCGGCAGGTAGCAGCCCCAATAAAAGAATTATTTTAAAAAATCATGTACTTAATTTATTATTATTATTTTAAACTTGCTATAGGGGCTGGCAAGTGGCATAGTGGTTAAGAGTGCTGGACTCCCACATGGCCAACTATGGTTTGAGTCCTGGATCTGGCAGCTTGCTTTCTCACTTTCTCTCTCTCTCTCTAGTCAAATTAAAAATAAATAAATAAGTAAAGTTGAATAAAATAATTCTTTTTAAAAAACTTGCTATAGGGGACAGGTTCTCACCAGAGAGAAAAGAGGGAAAGTGAGAAAGCAAGATGCCACGTTCAGGTCTCGAACTGCGGTTGACCATGTGGGAGTCCAGTGCCTTAACCACCACACTACTTGCTGGCCTGGTTATTTTCTGAAGCTAACACACCACGTCTGAGCCCAGCTGAGAGCCCACTGCCTTCCCAGTTGTTCCTGGGTTCTAAAGCTTACCCAGGCCTGGTTCCAATCATACCCATTGATCCCTCCTATGGTCCATGCCTTCAGCCAGGCCCTGGTGACACAGTAGGTATCCAATAAATATTTATTAAATAAATAATTTGCTAGGGCAAGAGGGGTTCTGAAGGTGTTGTATACCCAAATGACTGAAGTTCTGGGCCCAGGCTCATCAATGATCCCAGAGGAGGAGTCTTTCTGGGGTAGAGGTCAGGAGACTGATGGTGGACAGCAAGTCAGAGACTACTTTGAAGAGAAGGAGGCAACTGAGCTGAGCCTTGTGAGGTGGGTGGAATTTAAGGCAGCTCAGGCAGAAAGGACCAGAAAAACCAAAGTGAAATCAAGGGCAGGTGGCAGAAACAATGAGTCAGCGTGCACCTGATTGAGGACTTGCCCTGAGATGGAATTCAGCAACCTTTGAAGTAGCAAGTTCCCTGTCCCTGGTGGTATTCAAGCAAGCAGAGCTGATCCCAGCATTGAGTGGAGGGGCTGGGTGTCCTTCCCAGTCAGGAACTCTATAACTCTATTTCTAGGCTGGACCCGGGAAAGTGGATGGACAGAGGTTCCCCAAATTTCAAACTGGGGCCAGCTCTGTAGCAGAGAGGTAATGCTTTGCTCAAGCGATGCTGGATCCATACGGAGAATTGAGGGTTTGGTTCCCCAGGCGACTACTACATGCTTGGCATGGATCCCCATGTGCTCGGCTGGCTGGGAAGGCTGAGGGGGATCCCAGCATGGGAGCCTATTGGGCTCTCTCTCTCTCCCTCTGTCTCTCTCTTTCTCTGTCTCTCTGTCTTTCACTCTCATGAAAGAAATGAGCAAACAAAACAGCAAAGGCCCACGCTGGTCATTGTCTGTGCGTTTGTTTCTGCTCTAACAGTTACCTCAGTCTGGTGATATTCTCAGGTCCAAGGTCTGTAGCCTCAGCCTCTATCAAGGTGACAGGAGAAAAGGAAAAAGGTTGTGCTAGGGCCAGACCTAGGGCTTTTCTCTCCCTACTTGTGTTGAGTCTCTCTGTGGGCTAGTATCGTCCAGGATGCACTCTTCCTGCGTCCTTTAGTAATGAACCTCGCCCTCACTCTCCTGCTGGCACAGGTACCACTACGAGGTTAAGCAGCTAAGTGCTGTACTGTGCTCCCAACCTCTCCTGTAGCTGGGGGTGGCATGTGACTACACTCCTAGGGAGTGTAATGTGCTCTACTTTTAGGGTATGTCCATAAAAAAGAATAGGTGTGGGGCCAGCAGATGGTGTAGCAGTTATGTCACTGGACTTCCACGTGGTCATTCACCACGCAAGTCCCGGACCTGGGGCTTGAAAATCACACCAAGCATGTGTGTGTGCGTGTGCCCAAGATCCTGGGAAGAGAAATCTCCCCTGGGGAGTGATTTTTCACTTTCTCTCTCACTTCCTCTCTCTCTCTCTCTCTCTCTTTCTGGTGAGTGCACACACCTTATAGCAAAATAACTTTAAAAAAAAAAAAGAATGGACGTATGATGGCAGGTACTAGAGCAGGTGTTTTGAACCTCAAAGTAAAAAAATATGTTTATTTGATTTTTATTTTTGGCCGTAGGGAATGTGGACATGCTGGAGAGAGAAAGAGAGAGAGAGAGATCATCCCCAGGGGGAGATGGTCACATTGCAATCTCTTCTCCTCTATTCTCTAGAGATTTGGGGCATGCATGCACCCATGCCGGGTGTGAATTTCAAGCAGCTGGGTCTGGGCCTCACACTGCACTTTGGCCACATGGGTCCCAGCTGCCCAAACTCCACCCCACCTTCTGGCCTGTAAGTCATGGTTTGAGGATGGCAACAGCAATGAACTGAAAGTAGCCAGAACTGCTGGCACCATGGTGAAGAGCACTCACCCATAGAGCTGTTATGTGAGATTCTATCCTATCTTGATTCTTCTTTACAGCAACTCAAACCCATATTTCAATTAATATATTCCCTTAGCTCTAATAACACTTGAACTCTGGTTCTGAGCCTGATAACACTGCGCCAGAGTCTTTCTCTCCCAGCTGACCTTCCAGAACGAGGTCGTGGCAGCTCCCTGGGCACAGGGCCCTACCTCATGTTTGTGGATGATAAGAATCTTTGAATTGGAGCCCTGAGTAACTTAGAGCAAGTTCTTTAACATTGTAATCTCAGTTTTCTCCATCTTGCAAATGGCACCAATAAATAACATTCCCTTTAAAAGATGGTTTTAGGGCCAGCCCCATAGCACAGCAGTTAAGCACTGTGCATGGGGAGCTGGATTCTACATGGCTGACAGTGGTTAAAACCCTGGTTTGAAAAACATACTGGGCACATATGTTTGTGTACCCAAAATCTCCAAAGAAGGAAGAAATGAAGGACAAAGGATTATGGCATGATCATCTACCATGGAAGGTTGCTTTCTCATTTTCTCTCTCCCTCTCTCTCTCTTTCTCTCTGCCTCTTTCCAGGAAGCACGTGCAACCTCTGGCTACAAACACTGGGTACTTGTGCATGCCTCAGCTCTGGGGTAATGGAGATATAGAGGAAAAAGGGATTGCAACATGACCATGCCCTGGTGTGAGGGAGGATCTCTCTTTCTCTGAAGAGTTCACAGGCTCTCTGGCAATAATACATACATACATAAATAAGTAGGTGGTTTTATAGAAACATGACATTATCAACAAAAATGAATAGGAGGAGGCCAGCAGGTGGCGTGGAGGTTAAAGTGACTGGATCCCACATAGGCAACTCCATGGTTGGACCTGGTGACTTGAAAATCATGCTGTGCATGTGTGCATGTGTGCTCTAAATCCCAAGGGAGAATGGAGAAGTGACATGGCATGACCATCCCTCCTGGGGTGGGGGAGTAATTATTTCTTTCTTTTTTTTTTTTTGAGGTTTTTGC